TGTATATAACATGTGTTACACATACATATATGTTTTCCTTTTACACTTAATAAGATCTTGAGTGTCAAAATTTGGATATATGCATCCTAGGTGTGTGTTATCTCATAACATTCTACTTCTCTGAGAGACCTCAGAAGTCAACGTGCATTTCACCAGCTCTAACTTCCAAAATGGTTTTTAGTCAGTTGTAAATATCATGAGACATTAGCAAAATGTGGAAAGGGCGAAAAGAAATCTGTTTTGTTAACCTTACTTCTTGCAGCTCTAATAATCCTGAGATTACATAATGAAGTAGGAAAGGAAAAGCAAAAATCTTTCCCTTTTTTTTTCCCCTACTTGATTTTCTTCATTTAAATAAGAGTTGATATAAATTCAATTTTAATTTCCCTTGAACTCACTGCTTTATTTGGTCTGTTGTTCAAGGCGACATATGAACATGAAACAAGGCAACATGAAAAGATGTAGCTATGCCTCTGCCTACCCATCATTATTTACACCCATACAAGTTTTGGTCATGATATTGTGTGCTTGTCCACAAGCATAATACTTTTTTTTTTTTTTTTTTTCTAATAGGCATGATTCTTTCTTTTTTCTCATCCATTATCTTTTATTTCACATAGGAAAAAAATAGTCTTTATGTTCTGGTAAGAACCTGAGACATTCTGAATCATTAGACTAGAACAACAGTATTGGAAAGTAAATTGTTTAGAGGAATATAAATAGAAAGGTAAAGCACAGACAAAAAATGACAGACTTTAGCAGGAGTTTTGGAAACACAGTCTTGGAGTAAATTGTAGGAAATAATACAAGAGAGTTGTGAAGGTTCTTGCATATGGCATGAACGAAGCAAAGGGGTAGTATCAGTCACTGCTTCCAAAGCTGGCACAGAAATAAGGGGTAGAAAGCTCTATTGAATCCTGAGTAAGTATATATTTGAAGAACTGAAGCCAAAAGTGTGATAATTTTCCTACAAGCTGAAAGAGATTCACTTTTGCATATAGTACATTTTTTTTAGGTCATAGAATAGGTAATACATTTTTTAAATTACTGTAAGCTCAGTAACATATAGAAATTGATGTGAATCTCCTTTTATAAATCAGTTAACTAATTTTCATAACCAAATAGATCTCTAAAGATAAATAATTAATTTAAACAATAGTTCAGGCTCATATTTTTTCTAGTCCGTGTTCTAAACAGTGCTCACGTATAGCACTTAGGGGTGAAAACAATTGCATTGAATACACAACTTGTGAACCTTGCACGTGGACATCATCTGAATGCCCACTGAGCTGCAGAGTATCTGTGTATGTGCTGTACTTGATCGTGTGTGATTGCTGTCTAGAGCAGCCTTTACTTATTACTCGAATAAGAGAAAGTGAATACAAATTCTCAGAAGTTTAAGAAGAGATCAGGTTCTCAGCAGTCACAATTCAGTGCATTGAGTGGACTTAAATAATGCCAGTAGAAGAAAACAAACCTGAAACCCACTCACCACATATATTAGGGAGAAGCAAGCGTGATCTGCCAGAAGCCCACCAAGAATTCTCATGTGGGGTCCAGCAGGACCTACAGCCAGGTCTCATCCCATTGCCCCACTCTGGGGCTGAGGCTGGGCCAAGTCACTGCTGCGATCTCACAGATGGCTCCAAGTCTTGATGAGACTCAGGGTTGATGAGTCTGGGGCCTGGGCATGTGATGGAGCTCCAGTGATGGATGTACATGATGCCACTAATAACTTATTCAAGAACACTACTTGTACATACCAGAATTCAATATACTTTTTTAGGGGTGTGGGAGGATGCACAGAAAGTTAGCAGAAAGTTCCTACTTGTTACTATACTCCAAGGAAGAGGAGCACAACTAACTAGACAAGAATAGGGTGTATTCTGGACCTGGATTTAGCTGGTACAAATTGGAATAGACTAATTCTATGCTGAGATGTTCCTGGTCTCTGTGGGCCACTTTGGCAGTGAACACTAATGTTGCTCCTGACATTCACTGTGAAGCATGAAGATAAAGAAATAAATGTTTGGATCATAGCAGCAATGTGTTTTTGCATATATAGGTTTGGACTTTCATCACTCATTTGCTGTAGGTGTGAGGTTTTTATTTTTATTTGTATTGGTGGCTTTTTATTTGTCTTATTTTGCTTTGTTTTTGTCACTGCACTGCAACTGCAAAACTGTCTGGCAGAAGAGTTATTATACATATTCCTGTTTATACTCAAGGCATCTATCTCTACCTTTTGCCAGCTTTATTTCTGAATATACACACACAGCTGTGGGCAAGATGAAAAAAAAAGCTACCTTTTTTTTAATAAAATAGACTATACATCGCTTTGCATGTAAATAGTTAAGTCAGTAATAATTTCAGAAAAGAACAAGATCAAAGCAAAGGAAGCAACAAACTGAGAACCAGATGTTACTACTACAAATTTAATTTTAGAGCTGGCTGGACAACGATCATTTGTAAAAATAAAACTGGTGCTGTAAGGAAGTGCAATTTAGAAGTAGGAGGAGAGCTAACAATATAAGATTATACACTGCAGCTACTGAAATCTCATTCACTATAAATGAACTGATTTTCTCTAGCTGGGGCTACACTGTCTTTCAGGGTGACTTTGTCTAAATAGCAAAAATGTGTTTGGGGACTGATGAACATTAATGTACAGCTTTGGGTTTTGTTATTGTACAAAATTAAATATGCTCTAACCCAAATTGATTCTCTGAGGGATCTGTTCAAAAATATTTTTATAATCATTGTTGTGGAACTTTTTATGATCTTCAATATAGTCTATTCCCTATATAATGCTCCTCAAGTAATGAGTCCTTCATTAGTTCCATTTAACAATCCCGAAGTGTCAAACAGCTTGTAATATATTAACAACACTAATTTTTATAAAAGGTGTGGCTCCTAGAATTCTAATAGAATGAATTCCATGAGGTATTCTATAGTCCTGGAAATTCTTTCAATTATTTACATGGAACTATTTCTTGATACTTCTGACACTGTCAATAAAATTTAAACATCATTGATGTTTCAGAAAATCAAACTAAAACATTATTTTAGTTCAAAATCCTGATGAAGAAGGATAAAAAAACAAACAAAACAATAACAACAAAAAACTATAATATGGTTGTCTAAAAGTTTATGAATTGTTATTTTTCAAAAATTAATTTCTTTATTACCTCATTTTTGTGAGGGGAATATATTTGTGTTGACTTTCATCATTTTTAATCCTATTTTATTTATGTATTGATTTATGTATTTCTTGTCCACACTTTTTTTTTTTTTTTTTTGAATATTTGCATTTTAGTTTATTTAAAATTTAAAATAAGTCAGTAGAACCAGTTTTTATGTGTACAGTTTTCTTCCACTTAAGATGGTAGTGAATACTGATAATAGTGAATACCGATAAAGCTGAAGACTAAGTTGACCAGTCCATTGGATTAAATTAATGAACATCATCCAATCATTCAGGTAATTCTCAACCCAGGACATGATGAAAAAAACTACTTACATGCACGTGTCCCATACTGCCACAAGAGGCAGTAGGATCATGACTTGAAGGTTACACTTACTGCTCAAATCACTTATTTTTCATAATTTTACAAGTAACAACGTAAAAAAAATTGGAATCTTGTTTTCTTTGCAAACACACTTTATTTTCAAATATGTTCTTCCATAGGCAATAAAAAACAGTGAATTCCTACATTGCATGAATCTGTTATGTGCAAGAATGAAACCTTCAGTCTAATAACAAAATGAGATTTAGTAAACATCCTTAACTTCTGCATTGGAAAGTTAAATAGGATTTATCTGTAATTATCAGTATGATTGTTCTAAAGAAGAAATAAAGACCATAGAAGGAAAGAATGAAACATTAATATTGCTCACATAACCTCTATTTCCCTCTCTCCTAACACATAAGCTATAAACTATTGATGGGATTATTGGTTACAAGTAGCACACTTCTTCATTGCAGATGATGTGAGGAAACAAATTAAAAGAACATTTTTATACCTGCAAATAAAGTTGTGATAGCAAAAAGAATGCTTGTAACTAAGAATTCAGTAACAAGGAGCAATCAGAATCTTCATCCACCAAATGAAGAATGCATCCACCAGAGCAAATTCTATCTTGAAGTACTTACATGTCTCTATTCTTACCATGGTTTCTGAGAGTGTATATTTAGTTTCATGTTAACCTTCACAGGCATATAAATGCATATAAATGCTTTTATCCCCACATATAGATCTCGAGGCTTACATTCTCAAAGGAAATAAGGTTACTAAACAAAATGTAGACTTCAGTGAAAGACTTAGCTCTTCAGTCATTCATGACCTGTTGTTCCAAACTGAGCTATATCTAGCTTCTTACCAAATGCTTATTGCCCGAGTCAGAACTCTTTTTCGCAATCAGTCGTGATATTTGGGTTACACATCTGACTTCATTGAATTATAGAGTAGGATCACTGCTGGTTTCTCTAGTTAGGAAAAGGCTTCAGTAGTAATTTCTCAGAAGTAATTCTTAAGAACATGCTCAACTTAATAGTAGTTCTGCCTCACTATTTGCATTTCTGTACTTCAACTATACACATAAAAAAATATCAAACAGCAAGAGCTAAAATTGTTTAAAGGTATCTAAACACAGAGACACAGTTGTTTTGTGAGATTATCAGATATGTCTTAACAACTAACTTAATGAAATCAACAGTGACTAAACTTTTGATAGAGAATTATGGTTGTTGGTATATCCTTGCAATTTGTGTTTAAGGAACTGCTTGTCCTGTCTGCTACCAAAGAATTGCATTTTCTTGCCATAACAGGAGATGTGGAGGACAATAATAGGAAGTTGTATATTCATTTAGTCATCGCTTTAACAATTTCTTCTTTGAAATAATGATACTGTTATAAATCTACTGATAACAAGTCAGATTTCAAAAGGAAAAAAAATCACTCTTCCCAAAACAAGCATGCTATACTACTTTTTTTCTGCAGGTGTTAATAGTGACAGGATAAAGCAAGACTTTGATCAAACTGCACAGAGTGTGAAAAACATATTATTTAGTGGAAAAAAAAAATTATCAAGAGCCTTGAATGTGAGTCAAATTCTTCAAAGGTAAGGAATCAAAATGATTATATTTAACGTCACTTTTATAGTCAAAATGTCCAAATTTCCTTCTCCTTTCTTTGACTTCAAAAAAGTCAACGTTTCAGAAACTTCTGAGTCTCTCTTTTCAGACCCTTCTCACCATGGGAAATGGATCATTTTGGTTCTCCACAGAAAAAGAAGAAAAAAAAATTGAGTTCCAGCTAGGCCTGTAAACAAAGACTGTCCTTCATAATTAGTAAAAAAGAAGTATAGAATATCATTAAGATGGGCAGTGTTATCTAGACATCACTATACCAGTGAGTTTTTAACAGAATGCAATTTATCTATAGTTAGCCAAGTCATTCGAGAAAATATCATCTTAATCTTCAGAAGTTTTCAGTTGACATTCAAACTAGAATAGCTAGGGAGGCTAATTTAATCATCTAATCATGAATAACTTGGCAAGGAAATCTTGCTGGCTGAAAATTTTATTCAGTCAGTATCTAGTGCGGTTACTATGAAAAGAAAGTGTGTTCAAATGATATTAGAAAATTTATCCAATGTGACAAAGTATGTACATATACACTGCTAAGGATTAAGAAACTTTTGTTGTTTTCTTGTGACATTCAATACAAGATTATATATATTTTTCCATTATATATGCAAGTTAAATGCAATACATACTCAATGTCCAATAGGACTGGGATTTCACTTTGTAAGAGATGCTTCCATCTTTTTCACATGTAGTGCTAAAACTCAGCTGAGGACTATATTTGTGATATCAGTCTTAAATAAAAAATGAAAAAGGAGGAAGGTATTTTTGAACCAAGTATACAGCATGTAGGGTAATATTTAAAAGACATGCTTAATCTTTATTGAAAACTGTTTCTTTGTTATTGCTATGGGCCATAAGTTTGAATAAATTTCTTTCGTCATTTTACAACAACCTGACTAGCAGTGACAACGTTAAAAGCAATCTGAAAATTCTTTTGACAAGCATCTTGTTTGTAACTTCTGAATAAATTAAAGGCACCATAGGCTGCATTCTTGCCATCTTTCTCTCTATTATATACATCTATTTTTGTCATTATTTTTTTACTTTTGAGTTTTGTGTATGATCTGTTTGGTTGCCTAAGTCTAAATCCAAAGACAGTAAACTTGAAACTTATACTTAAAATCAGAAACTTACATTTGAACAAAACAAGAAAGGATCTATATGTTCATTCCTGTCTCATAGATCTAGAGGAACTGGTTTTTGTTCACTACTTTATTTTGAATGGCAAAGGTTTTTTTAATTTGTTTGTTTGTTTGTTTGTTTCAGTCAGAATAGAGATAAAAAGAAGATGAAATTGCCAAAAAAAAACTGAGATCAATGAAAATAATAGTTAGGAAAATATCCTGATCTTCTTGATTGAACATCATTGTTTGAAGTAGGAAAGGCAGCTGGGCATTTGTATTGCTTTATAGATAAAATGAGTTCAGTTCTCCTGAATTTTGAAGTCAAGATTGATTTTAGTTCAGATTGATTAATTCATTCCTAGAAAAATATTAATCAATGGTCTCTTTCAGAGTTCTAAGTATTCATTAAACTGCAATCTTACATACTTATGTCTCCAAACATGTTTCATTGTAATTGGAGTTACAGTTTTTCAAGTATTGAAAATGTGCTCTGGTCCGTAAACAGGTTTGAAAGATCTCATTTGTAATTTAGGTGTTAGCTCTGAGGTTACTGGAGGTGGGCTGAATAAGCAGTTTTGCAAATGAAGAGATAGCTCTAGAGAATGCTACTAAAAGAGGCCAAAACAATCATTTTCTTTTCCCCTGGAATTTTCTAGGACATCAAATCAAGTTTTATTCTTCTGAGTGAAATCATGAAAATATTCACAGAAAGAAATGTGTGTGAATGAAAAACAGAAACAGTTCTTTCTACACATTCTCTCCTGGAAGTAGCTTGCTAGGTGGGAAGAACACACAGCATTACTGAGAAAGTGACCCAGACTCTGGCAGCAAATATCTTGATTTCTCTTTTTTGAAACTGTACATGCTACTGTTGTGGTTCTGTAGTTAGAACTCTCCTAGCTGGAAAAACAAAACAAAACAAAACAAAACAAAACAAACAAACAAACAAAAAAAACATAATCCAAATTGGGCAGTCTTTCATATGAAATTGAGTAGGTCACACAATACCCATGTATTTCACCAAATGTTGCAAAGAAAATTTTTCTGTTTAGAAGCATAACTGAAATATGTATTTCTATATAAAAAGAAAGTAAATTGATAGCTCTGAAGAAATTAAAGATAAGATTTACTATACGTTTTTTTGTTGTTGTTTACTTAATTACTATCAATATCTCCTAATTTACTTAATTGAAGAGGAAGATAAATTCAAATTTCTAAACTACTTTTGATAAGGCATCTTCTGTAAAGGCTTGTCCTAGTTAAAGCTTTGAATAAACATGTTATTAACTATGTCCTTAATGCTGTCTTTTCCTGAAAACAAAAATATAGTTGGATATTATTTGTTTATTCATTTACAGGATACTTTCAGAATGTAAGGAGAATTGACTACCAATATTCTTCAGGAAGGTGAAGAATCAATGGGGAAAATAACATTGTCAGAAGTCTTTTGACTTACCAGCTTTCAATCTTACTTCTATTTTTGTCTGATTGCATGTTGGGTGTTTATTCCTTTGTTTTTCTTCATCTCTTCTGTGCATCTGGAGAATACTTTAAAAAGTATCTGTTGAATTTAAGGCAACCTTCAAGAATAAATTAATAATTACTTTGTATATTGAAATACATAGAATGTATTTACTGATAGAACATTATAAGTTACTCAAACAGGTACAGTTATAAATTAGTGTTTGAGATTGATCAAATGCAAATTGCTACTCCAGGGCACTTCTTAGTTATAAATCTACTACATCCTGGAAACTGAATTATTTGAGAACAGTCAGTTCTCAAAATACTTTACATTTTGGGGAAGAAAATATTTTTATGATTTTGGAATTTATCGCACTTGTGAATTATTTTAATTGAAAGGTATTTCTTGAAATTGTTTCTTCTTATATTTTACTAAATCTTTATTTTTTTATATTTACTTGGAAGCCAAGGAAGCTGACTCTTTTTGTCACTGCTGCTTTCAATAACAAAGGTAGTTTAACTTCAAAATTACATCCATCAATTGGAACCTCAGAGTTCGCCACTGATATATACTAGAGCTGGCTGGTATTATAGACTCCAGAAAAATTGCTAAAGTAATTCTAGTAGCAAGCCTTTCAACATAACATTATCTCAGACAAAACAATTATTTTTAACTCCATGTTTTTCTTGCTTGTTTGTTTGTTTTCCTTCACAAAGATCTTTTTGTGAACAGTTACGGAAAACAAAGAAAGGAAGAGAGAAGCACCTGCTCTTACGAAAGTCTGTAGCTCCTCACCAATTAACTCATATGAGAGAATATGGGTGCAATTTGCTTTGCATTACTTTTTATTTTTTTATTTTTTTTCCCACTGTCAATAGAGGCTGCAGAACTGAAGAACTGAGAGACTACAGCTTTTCCAGCTTTGAAGATTTGAAATAACACTGCTCATTCTGTCTTTAAAAAAAAAAGAAAAAAAAAGACAACAACAACAACAAAAATTGTCCAGAAGGAGAGAGGAGAGAGTTGTGGTTGTTAATCTTTTCTGAAAGGTGTTTTCTCCCTGGAGCTCTTAAGGAGCTACAGGAAGTGTTTCATTTAGGACTCTTGTTTCCAACTTTTCATCTCGTGGTATTGGAGCATGCCATCTCTATTTAGTTACCACACTGCCTGAAGTCGTTATAAAGTTCCTGCCTCTTCTCATGCACTGTATGAGGAAATCAAATGTCAAACATATCTTGGGTATGTTATCATCTCAACAATCAAAGTCCACATATGCACGTTTTCATCTTTGCTGGTTTAAAACTGTAAATATTTCCCAAGGTATGCATTTAAAGGAAACAAGATCTTACCCCTTAATAAACCTGATTTTAACAGAGTGATCAAAACTGGACCTGTGAGATTAATACTCATATGGAATGTCAGTCATGTTAAATGACTCCACTGATCAGCTTATTGTAGCTCTCTGTGCTGAGGTTGTGAACACAAAGAACAGTTATGTCCTTATATCTCTTTTCCTGTTAAAAAAATGAAAGAGGGAAAAATATTAGAATATTTCTTTTTTACTATCTCTGATCATCAAGTTCAAAAATCAGAATTAACTCTGATGCCTGCAATGAAGAAACTCTCATTTTTCAGATAAGAGTCACATATTTTATCTCTTCAACTCACCAATGAGTATATGCAAAATAAATAAATAAATAAATAATTGACAAAGAGGGGAACTGGGATTGGATTTGAAATTTTTGATCTAAAGATAAAGCCTATGAAAATTCTGAAGAAGAAAATCTAGGTTATTTTCCAGTTCAAAATCAGAATGAATCACAGCCCTTTTGAATTCTTACGAAGAATATATAGAGGTTTCTTCAGGAATAAAGAGCTGTCCTTTCACTTCAGGTACAGGATGTTCGCCTATTTTTGACACAGGGGCATCTATGAAGGTAATGCCATGTACTATTGTACATAAACATCTCAGTGAATTTTGATGCTTACTTGGAGACTATATGCAAATTGGCAGAATTATAACAGCTGCATCTAACTCCGTACTTCTGATGAAGATACCCTTAATTCAAAGGCGCTGCAGCTGTCAGAATAAAATGTTAATGGTGGTAGAAGTACCAAATTCCTATACAAATATATTTTTAACTCAGCATTTTAGAAATATATGATTTATAGGGGAAAAACTGAAGCAGGCCAAAAATAAGTTTATGTTGCTGAATATGACATTTTGTGGTGTTTAAATCTGCTCAATACGGAGATGGAATACTTTAAAAAAAAAGAAAAAAAAAAGAGAATATATACCTTTAAGACCAAAAACACAATTAAAAAAGCCTTCTAAATAATATATCTTGATGATAATAATATTTTTAGTTCTGTCTGTTCAGACAAAAGACAAAATATTTTTTTGTTGTTATAAGTGAGTGTCACATTTTATGACCAAACCAAAAGCATAGAAAGAGAACCTTTCAGGGTTTTTTTTGGTTTTTTTTTTTTTGAGATTTTCTAAAGCCGGTATCAAAGGAAGGGAATGTAACGTATGAGTAAGGAAAAGACCCTTTGTGGATTACAATTTCCCCCAGTAAGCAGAGGCATTACATGCCCCAAAGTTCTTGTTATTTTCATATCTGCAAATAAAAGTGATGAAATAAAATAAATTGCTATTTCTCTTGCTGACTTCGTGTAATCCATCCTTCATCTCAGGACTTCACTTCTTCCTCAAGATCAACCAGTCCATACTGTATTTCTCAAGGTTAGACTTTGCATTTGGAGCTCTGTTTTAGCAAATGTATTCTGTTTGTTGTGTAGTTGATGAGCTCTCTCTTGACAAATTATCCAAGATATTTCAAAAGAGATAAAAGACTTATGATTCTATCAGGGAGAAGTTCTTCACAGAAGGAGTTGTAAGATTCTGGAACAGCTTGCTCAGAGATGTTGTGGATGCTCCAACCCTGGAGGTGTTCAAGGCCAGGTTGGATGGGGCCCTGGGCAAACTGATCTAGTTCCAGATCTGGTGCTTGTGGCCATGTCTTGGCTAGGGATTTGGAGCTTGATGATTTTTGGTGTCCCTTCCAGTCCAAACCATTCTACGATTCTATGATTCTATGACTTGTCCTTTTTTGTTTTGTTCTTTTCTTTTCCATTCAAACTTCCTTTCTAAATCATATCCATATATATCTATGATGCACATCTTGAAGATCTTTACACTTTTAATGGCAGTATAACGTCATTTGTTCTTTTAATTCAATTTTTTTCCTTTCCAGATGAAAGGCTGGCTGACTGATTGCTGGGGCCTACCAGCCTGTCTATAATGTGATAACACTTCTTGACAGAAATAGGTAGGGCCTAGTGCCCTGCATCACAGAAAAAAGAACCTCAACCCACAACATTGCATTTGTCTAGAAGCATTTAAAGAGATGGATCTTGCTTTCCTCAGCTTACAGTGCTTTTTTATCCTGTTGATATTGATTCTGCATTCATAAGGCTTATACTGCTGCAGTGTTCTAGTGTAAGAATGCATAAGCTGTGTTAGAGAAGACTTGCTGCCACACTATGAATGAACAGTCTTCATGCTTCTCTAATAGTGCATACAAATTTTGTTTGAAATCATACTACAGAAAAAAAAAAAAAAAAAAACGTTGGCAAAGGATATGTTCCTGTATTTTCCTTTACTTCTCTAAATAAGAATTTAATGAAAATTCACTGAAACAAACTTGGGAGCGGAGGAAGGCGAATTGGCAGGGAATTCAGAAATTCAGAAAAATGAAGATTATATATATACTTTTTAATCTTCTCAGTCCTCTGCTTTGAGATGGCCGTAGTCACTATTAGGAACTTAGAGGTTTTCAACAGTAAATTCTCAGAATGGAAACAAACAGCTTTCTAAGGGAGGTAAGCACAGGATACTCACTGACTGAAAGCTTTTTCTTAAATTACAGCTCTCAAAACATGTGTCTAACTTCTTTCCTCTCTTTCTTGTGTCAGCTCCTAATATATACATTGTTGGGTATGTACAGTAGGCACAATGTGCTTATCTATAATTCTATAAATTATCTTGCAGAATTATATTACACAGGATATCATTATTGATATTGCTCCTGTGTGATCTGGATTTTGACTGTTTGATGACTGTTATGTTTGTGGAGAATTTCTCTCAAATTCCTAAATGTCACTTCAGATGTGTATTCTAGTAATCATGACTAAATTTTTCAGCTTTCAGCTTTATCACTTGTCATATACTTTCAATGTTTCCTCAAGGACTAATAAATATAAACTCGTTAAACCAGATTTTTGCATTGCTGTATCCTGTCCCTCTTTTATGTCTTCCTATCTTTTTCCTTTTTCTAACTTGTTCATGGCATTCTTAGGACATTCCTCTGCTCCTTTTGCATGAGTTTCTCCATAATAATCTGACAAAATTCTTGTGCATACAAGGGCTAAATATAACTCTAAAGAGTAAAGCAGACAGTCTTTAGATTTAGAAAGTTGAAAATATTTTCACTCTGAAAGGAATTCATGATACCTTGCCTCACAGGTTTTTAAATTACTTGGTTTGTTCTGCTGGCAAATGTGTGTTTTAGTGGTAGGAAAAGAAGGAATAGTTACCATAGTAACTGTCATACAATCCAGTGTGGTGCTAATGTTAGCGTACCTCTGAGAAAATACAAAGCTGCCTTCTTAATCCCTTTAGTGTTCCTGGTTGAATGGTGTATGCCTAGTAAAGTGGCACTTGTAGGTCCCTTGGCTGTACACTGTATTTCCCATCTACTCCTCAGTAAAGTAATGGCCTCCTATAAGTAGTATGAGATAAAAAAACAAGTCCAGCATGAAAATACAGAGAATTAGTGCTCTGCATGAAAAACACACAACTTTCCCCAAGACTATAATGGTTGTGATTTTATGAGCTTTTTTTACATCCTCCTAAAATCTTTAAACATTAACTGGTGTCAATGGAGATACAATGAACCTTGTTCAAAACATTGGAAATGCCTCAGTACAATTTAATTTCTCCTAAGATAATCTGATGTACTTAGTTTGTTGCTTTCTAGAGCCAGGGAGCAATGGGAACAAAACCAGAGAAACCTCATAAAATTAAGATATTGATGATCATTTCTCATAGATTTTAGCACATTTAATATCTCTTAAATTTCATCTAACACTATTGAATTGCAGAAAGTTGTGGCCCTATTGGCATAGACAGCTTCAAACAAGGGCAGTATTTTTTAGCAAATTTATCATATAATCACAGAATTTCACTGGATTTTCTATATCTATGCTATTTTATCAATGCTTTATATATTCCCATTTGTACTTTCACTGGAGTGGAGACTGGAATCCGTATCACATGAAAATAATCCAACAACTCACGTATAGGGAATTCTGTGGAAGAGTTTAGTCAATGTATTTTAGTATTGCACATTTGATAACACATTTAAGTATTTACTCACAGTGGTTAGATTAGACACACCATCCCTAGACAGGGAATGGGGCAGGCATAGAGCAACTGGAGCAAGGGTGAGGGATAGCACTTAGGGAAAGAACAGGGACAGTCAGGCTCATTAGTACTGTCAGAGGCTTGGTATTTATGTTCATAACAAGTGCAGATTCAAAGAATTTTTTCCATTAAACACACCTCTTTTATCTGTCGTTGGCAGAGTTAGCTGGTGATGTAAATCTAACATTTTAAATAACCAATTTTGATAGAATTAATTTTAAATTTGAAACATTATTTTATTTTATTGCCATAAACTGCTTGGAAATATAAGCGCATATATTTCTCACAAGGAATACATATTTTTCTTTTTTCCCCCTTCTAATAAATCACGGTTACAATAAAACATTTATCTATGCCTGAATAAATATAATATCTTTATTAACATTTAGTAAATTGTTAATATAAGACTTCATCAGAAGAATCAGAACATCTGAAGTGAATCTTCTTTAAGGTCAGATATAATTTTTAGAACAAAATAGTAACTGTTTTAAATGTACAGTGATATAACAATAATTCTTCATGGCCGTAGTCTATTCACATGTGTATTTCTCCAAAGGAGAAAGCCAATTAAGAAGACAATGTATATCCTACAACTGCTTCTAAACCTCTTTTATCAAAGGTATCCTATTCATCTGTATGAGTTAATAAAAGTCAGAAGAAATCTGAGCTGTTGATTTATTTCTTGCTGTCTCAAAGCTACATCTGTTGACATGCAGAGATGCCAGTACAGTGCTAATATTATACGTCATTACTTAAAGACTGTTATGGGCTGATATATTATGAAAGGACTGTAGTTTCTTCAACTATAGCAAGGTTTTTGACGTACTTAAACTTTTAAAACCTAATACAAGCAAAAAGTTGTACAAGCCCAAACAAGTGTGAACTCTTCACTACCACTATACAATATGACAAATACAAGTATTAGCAGCACAAAGAATACTCTAAAAGTCCCTTAGTCAGAAGATGAGTTTGCTTTATAATCTTGGGAATTCTAACAAATAATGTGAAAGGGGAATAGATTTAGTTTTAGACAAGGCATCTTTATTATCACCCGTCTTCAAAAAACAAAATGGGATTTTTATGATCATAAGCATTGGGATTTAAGTTTTAGGTCTCCTCGGAAAGAGCATATCTGCACGAGATTAATGTCATTAACATCAAGTTGATTTTCATGAACACTAGCATCACAATAGAAAAGAAATCAATTTTTCCATAACCATACCATTTACTGCAACATCTGGTGTTGCTCTGAAAGTATATTATGCAGTTGTGACCTAATCTCCTATTTTCTGGATTTTTTAAGGCTTATTAACGCATTGCCATTTAAAATATAATGATTTACTCTGGTTTAGTGCATTATTACTGCAATTTTATAACCTTGAAATAAAATTTAATTGAGTTTATATAAGGCTCATCATGGCAACTGTGAATAAATTCAAACGTAAGTGATCTTGAAGATTTATATTTTATCCAACAGAACTGATTTATTTGAACAATTGTTTCTGCTTAGAAAGCAGAATATTTGAAATAAAATAATGGAAATCTGCTCAGTGTCTTAAAAAAAAAAATGATTTAGAATGATATCCAAAAATATTGTATTTATTACTATTTAATACCTCTTTAACCCTGTACCGTACCTTACATAAATGTTTTGGGCATTTTACTTTTACTGCTCTTTTCTTCATTCTGGAGTATTATTTGTGCACTCTTGAAAACGTTCAGGTTTTCATAAAATGTTTAAGATTTCAAGATACTTCTCTGCATAATAAAGGAAAGATGCATGACATATAAAACAGATTGATTTTAATGAGGTATCCAAATACTTCCGCTTGATGTTGTGATTGTGAATATTCTCATAACCATTTGTTAATTGAGGTGCAGAGTGCAACCACCTCCTGTAGTCCCACTGGCCAGGATCACTCCTGCTCAAGTGGTGGTGCAGAGCCCCATGCCCAGGGACCTGGTGTCTCTACCCCTGCTAGTGGACACAGCTACTGCTTTCATCATCACAGGTTCAATACGTGGCAAAGTTGAACACAATATCCCAGGGAAACACATAGACAAAGATAGGACACTTACATGACTGGCCACTCCAGCACAGAACCTCTGCTTACCTAATACCCTGACCCAGACACAACACCCTACTTCTTGCCAGCTGCTCTGACTAAAATTTTGTGAGCAAGTACACCCATCTGCCCTATTCATACCAGGTGTGGGGAAGATAATGCCACACAGACACCCTCAGCAGATGGCACCATTGTTAGCTCACAAATTATGACTGTGGCAATCACTTCTCAGCTTTGAAGTCCTCCATCAAACCATGCTGGACTGAGCATTCTCACATTCTCACCTACTCTTATTATTTAGAGCACAAGTGAATAT